TTGATATATCTTTGATTTTCATTTAATTTATGATATATATTATTAAAAATTATTGTATAAAATTTCCTATCGTTCTCAATTATACTCTAACCTTAACAGTGGTCAATTATTAAAAAGTAATAAGAATAAAAACATATATTTTACAAGTGATAAAAGAGGGGAACTTTGGGGAGAAGATGCTCTGGAGGCTGTGCAAGTTAAAACCTTTACATGGATAAAAAATAAGGTTGCAGGATGCGTTTTCTCATTTTTTGACTGGAAATTAAGACCAGCTGAGTGTGGTGCTGCTGTGAAAAGGCATAAGTATCTACAGAAGCAATTAAACAGACAACAGCAAGTGGAAGTTTAATTTAGAGCAGAGATATAGTTATATTTTGCGTAGTTGTTTGCTTCTGATTTCTGGGTCGTGTGCTTTGTGGGTTTTGATTTAGTAATGTAAGAAGATATTTTTAATGGATAAATTCACCCCTTATATTCCAAATAATAAAACTTGTCTTTTGATGATAAACAAAAAGGAAAGTTGAGCAATCATCCATATGTTTAAGAATTTAAAACTGATCCCAAGAGCTAAAGGATCATACTTATATAAACATAACAATTGCACATAATCAAGGTAATCATGTCCTTAATCACACACACTCGCAATCACAAGTACATCTACGTGCACACAAACACCGATGATAATAATATTACTATAGCTGATTTCTCTTTTTTTTGCAATGAGTTTTGTGACAGCAAGTAAATGCCATCAGGGACCCAGACTCAGTAGTACTGCTCCAAAGTAGCTAATCTTGGAATAGGTATGATAACAAGAGGGTTCTTTTTCTTCATAACAAGTCCAACTTTCTCAGATACATCAAGCTTCTCCTCAGCCGGTATTTCCCATTCAAAAGAGTGCAACAGAGTGGCCAACACATACTTTATCATTCTCTCAGCTAGAGGAAGTCCCGCACAGATTCTTCTCCCAGACTCAAAAGGAAGAAAACTGAAAAAGTTTCCATGGAAATTGCCTCTTTCTGGCTCTTTTAAGAATCTCTCTGGTTCAAATTCTGAAGGATTTCCCCAAACCTCGGGGTCCCTTTGAATTGTCCATAAATTAATCATGATTCTGGAGCCCTGAGGGATCGTGTATCCGGCCACACAGCAATCCTTGCTGGGGTTGCGGGGCACTAGGAAGGGAGCCACTGGATAAAGTCGAAGTGCCTCTTTTATGACTGCATCCAAATATAGCAGTTTGGGCAAATGGGATTCCTCCACAATGTTCTGGTTTTGGACCACTTCCTCAATTTCTTCCCTTGCTCTTCTCATTTTTGCTGGATGTCGTAGCAATTCTGTCATGGCCCACTCCACCATGGTCGATGAAGTTTCCAAAGCGGCAAATAAAGTGTCCTACATCTCGTGAAATAGAATAAACTCAAATCAAACATAAAAATATAGTAAAAGAGCTTTGTAACTAATTTTAAAACATTAATTTAAAGCCAAAGTCATGAATTTAAACAAAGACTAAACCTCTTACATTAGTGAAAAAAGAAAAAAAAAAGACATATATGTATGGAAAACAAAATTTGCAAGAGATAACCGGTTTTCGTAAGATTTACCATAAACAATGCTTTAATTTCATCTATGCATAAACATGGAGTACTCCCTTCGTCGCCTTGATGCTTCAATCCTAACAAGAACTGCAGCAAATCCTTGTTTTTAACCTTATCGTTTTCCTTCATTCGGCCTGCTATGACTGATTCAAACATCTGATCAAACCACAGAAACAACTTCTTCATTTTCAACTCGATTCCTTGAAGATCGAATGGAGCCAGGACAGGGAAAAGATCAGAGATATTGGCTCTTGACAGCAATTCAAAAACCCCCATTACTAACCGTCTAAACTGGGGCCCTATGCTGTTCCTTTCCTCCAAATGCAACTGACCACCCCATACCATATTCATTGTTACGTTCAGGGTCGTAATAAACATTTGCTCGCTGATATCAATGGGGGAACCGGCCTTGCTATGCACATCCTTCACCATTTCTCGTACTTCCTGTCGGCGAAGTGCATAGCAGGCATCAAGGCTCGCATTGCTCATCAGTTGATGAACAAAAATCCTTCGCATCTTCTTCCATTGCGGACCATTAGGGCTGAAAGTAATGTCAATCCCACCATAAACTAGGGTTCTCGCCGCTGCAAAAACTTCGTGGTTAGCAAAGATTTCATCGTTGTCTTTTAGGATTATTTTGGCGAGCGAAGGGGAGCTTACAACAATACAGATCTTTCTGCCCAGTTGGAGCCTCATGATGGGACCATAAGTTTGAGACAATTTAGTAAGGTAGTGATTTAAATCAGGTTGAAGAAAGGGAAGGTTTCCTAACAGAGGCAGGCCTGGCGGACCTGGTGGCAACGGAGGCGTTCTTACTGATTTCTTGGTGATCAGCCATGCATAATAGCAGGCCAGAAACACCGCAAAACCAGCCCACCACCATGACTGTAACTCAACTACAAGACCATCATAGAAGTTAGACATTTCGATGAGGAAAGAGGAGTATTGAAGGTAGGAAGAAAAAAAAATCTCCAGGCGCATTTATAGAAGATATCAGTGTTTACGGAGTTGTAAAAAATTTATGTAAAAAGGTATTTAAAATTGAGTAATAATATACAGGGAGAATTAAAATTTGATATTAATGATGTGATTTATGTAAATTAGTTGATTTTTGTTATTAAAATTAATTGATGTATGAAATATTATAGATTTTATAAAAATAAAAAAATAATTATTAAATAATATATAATCTAAATTTTAACATTTTATAATATGTAATTTATATTACGTCTTTAATATTAAATTTTGATTTTAAATTTTTATTCAATTTATTACTATTCTTTAAAATTAAAAAAAATACATATCAATGTTGATTTTCAACAAAAAATAAAGTTTTAATTTTAAATAAATTTGTTTTATTTAATTAAAATTTAATTTAAAATTTAAAAATT